CCCTGGAAATTCGTCACTCACCCGCCCCCAGCAGCAGCGGCAGCAGCAGCGGCAGCAGCAACACCGAGGCGGGCCCTCGGCGCGGCATGGTGGGGCGTCCGGACCAGGGTCCTCGGCGTGGTGCGGGCCGGGGCGGCCGCCCCTTATAACCTGCACTGTGGCCCCGCAGGGGAGGAAGTGACGTCACCGCCGCCCCCTCCCGGCCCCGCGGGGCGACAGCTGCGGGGCGGCCCTCCTGCCCGAGACCCTCAATTATTCATGGGGGCCCACGCCCTGCACGCGAGAGCGCAGCGTCGAGCACGGGGGCTTCCCTTCCCAGAGAGACGGCCTGATGAGCTCACCCGCGGCATTGGGAGGCAGACTTGGGTTCGAATCCACAGGCAGCCACTCACTGATCGAACTAAGGCAACGCTTTCCCTTCCTGGGCCTCAGTTTCCTCATCTGGAAAGTGGGTCTCAGAAACCTACTTCCTCAGAGGTTGTACCTGGATTCTGGCCTGAGTCCCAGCCCCACCACTTGCCAGCTGTGCAGCCCTGGGCCAATTTCTTAACTTCTAAGACCAGTTTTCTCATTTGTAAAATAGAATCCGTGACAATTTACTGCCCAGCTTGACGGTGAGGATTAAATAATGTGTATACAGTGCTCAGGGCAGTGCCTGGCGCTGGGAACTGCATATGTCCGAGCACCTCCATTCCAGTCATTTTTACTGAACACCTGCTGTGTGCCAGGTCCTCTTCCAGACTCTGAGGCTACCTCAGTGAATAAACCAGCAAACGTCCCTGCCCTCTCGGAGCTGACATTGGAGAAGGGGAGACAGATAATACAGTTGTCTCTGGGTATCCGCAGGGTGATTGGTTCCAGGAGCCCTGCAGATACCAAGACCCACAGATGCTCAAGTCTCTTATAAAAAATGGTGTAGTCTTTACATATCTACCCACATCCTCCAGTAAACTTTAAATCATCTCTAGATTACTTATACCTAATATAATGTAAATGCTATGTAAATAGTTATATTGTATTGTTTATCTGTATTATTTCTTATTGTTGTATTATTTTTATTTCTCCGATTATTTTCAGCCCATGGCTGGTTAAATCTGTGGAGGCAGAACCGCGGATACGGAGGGCCGACTGTACTCATGAATGCACATTATGTAAGGAAGGAGGAAACGACTGTGGTACACCACAGCATGGATGCAGACACTGAATGCTGGGGGGTTTTAGTCTGGCCAGGGTGACCAGGGAAGTCCTCTCTGAGGTGGTGACATTTGGGCTAAGGCCTGAATGATAAAATGGAGGAAAGTGCACAAGATCTAGGGGAAGAACAGTCCGGGGAGGGGGACTAGCAAGCACAAGGGCCCGAGTCAGGAAGGAGTTAGTTACAACAGCAAGACAAGTTGGGGCTGAAGAGGAGGGCAGGGGCAGATCAGGCTGGGCCTTGTGGGCCATGATGACGACTCAGTCCTTTACTCTGAGATGGAGTCATGGGAGGGCTGAGCAGGGAGGGACATGACCTGATTCAGGTGTCCACAGGTCCCTCTGGCTGGGTGGGGGACAGGGAGCAGGGAGATGGTGAGGAGGCTTCTGCAACTGTCCAAATGGAAGATAACGGTGGACAGGAACAGCGCAGGGGCCGGGGAGGAAAGGGCAATGCACAGATTTTGGAAATATGCTGAAGGTGGAGCTGCCAGATTTGCTAATGAACTGGAGGTGGATGTGAGAAAAAACTCAAGGATAACCTGAAGGGTTGTAGCCTAAGCAACTGGGAAAACGTGCTGAGAGGGGTATACTGGGAAGAGTGAGTTTAGGCAAAATGATTAGAGGATCAGTTTTTTTTTTTTTCCCCTTTTTGTCTTTTTCCGTGTCCGGCAACGGATTGCAACCCTCAGTGTCGCCCCCACACCGGACCGGGACCGGCAATGGGATCGCAACCCTCAGTGTTGCTCCCGCACCTTGCTCAGCCAGTGAGCGGGAACCAGTCTGTATGTGGGATCCGAACCCTCGGCGGGAGCGCCACCACGCTCCCAAGTGGCGCACTGTAGCAGTGCGCCACCGGGCCAGCCCTAGAGGATCAGTTTTGGCTTCACTCTGTGATGCCCTCTGGACCCTACCTGGAGCTGGGGAAGGCGCAGTTGGATGAGGAGCTGGGGACTGAGGAGTAGGTTGAGGCTGAGTCTGCTGCAGGGCGACCTGTCCTGGCTTGTCCCAGAGGAAGGGGAGAGGACACAGCATCCTCCTGGCTTCCCCTGGTGGCCCCCAAGCCACCTCCATGTACACTGGGGGTTGCTGGACACTTCCAGACACGGTCCTTGCAGCTATAGACCCTTCGATGATTTGGCACCTCTGAGCAGTTGCCTGGCACCTCCCAGGAAGTTTGGCAGGGGCATCTCCCTTGTCACAGATCCACAAAGGCCTTTGTTCTGAGCATTTATTGGGGACTTTCTGCTCAGCACTGAGGGAGGGAAAAAGGATGGAAGTCTCTTCCTCTCCTCCCATCCCCAGACGTCCTGCTCCTACTGCAAGCTGGGACCCTCAATGACAACGGGGTCACTGACTAATTCTGAGGAAGTAGGAAAATAGAAGAGGTGGACCCTGGAGTCCAGGGGCGCAAGCAGGGAGCTGACACGAGGAATGCAGATGTCAGGACGGGCTCAGGAAAACAGGTCCCAGGCGTTTGGGGTCTCCTGACCTCCAGGAAGCAGCGGCCACCCTGCTGGCTGACGTGGATGGGTTCTCAGCTTGACGAGGGCTGGCCCGGGAGCCTGGGCTTCTGGGGCTGGTTGGGGCCAATGTACCGGAGAGGCACGTGGGTGGGGGCTGTGATCCGATCAGTGCTGAGGTAGGGCTGGAGGGCAGGGGGCACGAGGACCGAGCCATCCTGGGGACAGAGCAAGCCTCAGGAGTCTGCCCCTGTCCCAGCCCTCCACCCTTGGCTTCTCTGGGTGCGATGCTTCAATCCCCTCACCTTCTGCTGATTGCTCTCCAGGAGGGCAATGAGGAAGCGAGGGACTGCGCAGGCTGTGGCGTTCACCTGGGAGAGAGACATGCTCAGAACTGGGCATTGACTCCAGGGGAGGGGCCGAGGTGGGGCGGGTCTAGCGAAGCAGAGGCTTCTGGGGAGGGTGTGCGGGCCCTCACCGTGTGGGCGAACTGCAGCTCCCCGGCCTCGGTCTGGAACATGATGTGGAGGCGGCGGCTCTGGAAGTCAGTGCAGTTGGAAGCACTGGTGACCTGGGGTGGGGATGGGGTGAGCTGAGAGGATCAGCTGTGGGGGGGCAGGCCTGTTTTCTTTCCCACCCCATGTCCCCACGGGGGCAGGGCTCACCTCTCCAAAGCGGCCACGGCCTGGCATCCAGGCCTCAATGTCAAACTTGCGATAGGCGGGAAGGCCCAGTTCCTGGGTTGGCATGTCCAGGACCCTGCAGCCAAGGGCCCCGGCATGGCAAAGGTCAGCATGTGCGAGGCAAAGGAGGTGGTGGGGAGGAGGAGGAGGAAGAAGTGGAGGCAATGGAAAAGAAGGTAGCCAAGAAAGAGAAAGTGGGAAATGGCAATAAAAAAGGAGCAGGAGATGATAGTGGCAAAGGGGATGCGGGAGGCATGAAGGAGGGAGTTCTCAGAAGGGGACAAAAGACGTGCACAATGGCCATTCTCTCCTTCTAGAATAACAGCACCCCCAGTTTTTTGCAATGAGTCACCAGAAAAAAAGTCTACATTTCTCAGCCTCTCTTGAAAGCTACATGGGACTCACAATGTGCGGGTCCCGCCTTTCCCTCACCCTGTTTCCCACTGGAGGGTAAAAAGGCATCTTGGGTCAGGCGGGTGGGGCAGTGCCTTAGGGATGGGGAGCAGCAAGAGGGAAGGGGCCTGGGTGCTGACCCTGGAGCACCCTGAACTGCTCATGCTCCTGCTCTAATCCCATAAAGCATTACAGATGCACAGACAGACAGCCTGTATACACTCCTAGAATCCTCACACAGGAAAAAAGGGGCAAAGAGAGAGCAGGTGGTGAGAAGGTTCCAGATGGGGGAGCAGCTAGCCAGCCCCTCGTCCCTCCCTCCCCCACCACCCCTGGCCACCCACCGGGCCCCTGACCCCTCTCCACACCGGAAGTGCAAGCCCAGCTCTGTCAAGATCTCCATCTGAAGGGACAGGAACTCCTCCAGCAGCTGTGAGCTCTGCTCCAGCCCAGGGCCTGTCACCCCAAACATCTCCACCTGTGGTGGGACAAGGGCGCAGGAGTCAGGAGGCCCTGAGCTGTTGTAGTGCCCCCACCGTCCCAGCTACACCTACCTTGGTGAAGTGGTGTACCCGATACAGCCCCCGAGGATCCTTCCCCGTGTCTGTCTCTGCCCGGTAGCAGGTGCTAGAACAAACCATCCTGGTGGGGAGCAGGTAAGGTTAGTCAGGCAGGAGAGACTGAACATCACAGGTGGGGGCAAGTTCTAAAGAAACTGGGTGTCACCTGATTGGCAGGTCCCTGAAGGCCACAGTGTGGTCCATGAAGTAGCCTAGGAGGAGAAGAGGGCAACAGGGTCAGCCAGGGCTGCCACTGCCCACAGGAAGCCTTTCTGAGAATTAGAAAAGGCATCTGATCCTATGTCAGAGTAGGCGGCTGGATTGTCACTGTGCTGTTGTGCAGTAAACAACCTACAAAACTGTACACATTGGCCCTGCAGTTGCTGAGCTTTCCTGGACAATGGGTGTTCCCAATGTCTGCCCACAATCCCTCCGCTCCTCACCCTCCAGGCAGATGCTCACCTGCGAGCCCCACCTCTGATGTACCAGCCAGGTTGAGGTCTTCAAAGCGGGAGGGGTCGATGTTGTAAATTTGGGATGGGTTGGCATTCGGTGTCATCCCACAGCCTTCCTAGAGGAAGAGTACAGGCCACAGGGGTCAGGGAACAGGTAATCTTGGCCTCTCCCATTTTGCAGTTATGCTCCTGCCCTCGAAGCATCTGGAATCACCTTCCTCCCCTATTATATCCTGACCCCCTCAACCCCAGCCCCAACTGTCTCCTTAGGGAAGGCAGGCTGGTGTCCCTGCCTTAGGTCCACAGAACAGGGCCTGACACCCAGCTGGGCAAGGGGAAAGGAAAGGGGCCTCACTCACAAACACAGCTCCCCGGAGGAGGTCTGGCACTGCCATGGGGGTGAAGCCCTGTGATGGGGGAGAGGATGAGTGAGAAACACATCCCAGACCCCAAGCTCAGGCCTGGAGAAGGGACACTGCAGAGTGAGCCAATGGCTCCCCCTTGTCATTCCAAAGTCCGCTCTACCTCAGAGGAAACTGAGGAAGGCCTGGGAAGTGGGCTTGGAGTTAGTCCCCAGGCCCCTGGTGTCCCTCCTACTGGGGCCCTGTCTGCTGTGTGCTCCATGACTTCCTCAGCTCTGATTTCTTTACTCAGTTCATCCCAAATAGGGCAGCTGGAAGTATAGGTCAAAAGTACCGATCTGCTTAAAGCCCCTCCCTCCCTGCTTAAAGCCTCCCATGGCTCCTCAGTGCCTTCAGGAAATGTCTGAGTCCCTCACCATGGCCAGCGCCCCATGCAGTCAGCCCCTGCCCACCCTTCAGTTTCTATGGATACCATATTCCCCAAAAGCTCCCTTTATACTGCGGGCAGGCAGCGAGGTCAGGACAAGCACAGGCTCTAGGGCCAGCTCCACAGACTAGCTGTGAGACCTCAGGCTAGTTACCTCCTCTCTCCAGGCCTCAATTTCCCCATCTCTTCAGTGAGGATAATAACAGCACCCACGTTATAAAATCATAAGGATTAAATGTGCCAGTAATACATGTAAAGCTTTGAGAACAGTGACTAGACCAGAGGTCACCCCCTTTCCCCGCTGCCCTGAACCCTCTGAGCTCAGTTTCACTGCCACCCCCTCAGGAGCCCTCCATCCTGGCCCATACCCGGTGGATGAGCTTGTTGAGTGTGAAGTTCACCAGGCCATGCTGCAGGAGGGCCCCAGCCCCACGCAGGTAATAGGAGCGGTGGCCACACACATGGGACAAGCGCCTGAGAGACAGATGGGCAGACAGGTGGGTGCATATGGGCCAAGGCTAATGGGGAAGAGGGGGACTCAAGCACCCAGGGGCAGAGGCCCAGCTGCCAGGTGGGGCTGGGGCATCAAACATTCATGCTGGGTGTGGCCCTGGCATTTCCACATCCTGTGATGAGGCCGATGAGGCAGGAGCGGCCACCAGCTGTTGGGATGTGGGGATGGCTCGGTGGAGGAGGTGCAGAGAGGGGAGAGGAGCTCACTTCTGCCGGATGATGTCGAGTTCCTCGCCGATTTCCAGGTGCCCCCGGGGTTGAAAGGAGAAAGCTGGATGTGGGAGAAAAGCAATGGGGTAAGAGGCGAGAGAGAGACAGGAACAGGGATCGAGAGAAAGGATTAGAAGAGGGCAGGAAGGAGAGACAGTAAAAAGAGGAAGGGAAAGAGGAGGCAGGAAAAGAGAAAGGGAGAGAAAAGGAAAGAGAGGAATGAGGGAAAGAGAGAAAGAGAAAGAGAGATGGGAGAGGGAGGGAGGGAATAAGACAGAGGCAGACACAGTGCTGACAACACCAAGGTCCGGGGCTCGATGCCTGTGCTGGCCGGCCGCCAAAAAAAAAAAGATGGAGGCAGAGATGGGAATGGGAAGGAAAGAGAGAGAAATGGGGAGAGAAATGGGGAGACAAGAGTTAGAAAAGGAGAGGAAGAGAGACAGGGAGAGAGGAGGAAACACTACAAGGGAGAATGAGAATCAGAGAGAGGAAGATGCAGAGAGTCAGGGAGGAAAAGGCCATGAGACAGGGACGAAAGCAAGGGGGTCAAACGGAGATGAAGGAGACAGAGGCAGATGTGCGCGTGCGCACACGCACACAGAGGACACAGGGGGAGAAAGCCTAATAAGGTGAGGGGAAAGAGAATCAAAGTCGAAGAACTGCCCCTCAGAAACAGTTCAGGCCCAGCCGAGGCAGGAAGGTGAGCCACCTCCTGCAGCGCCAGGGGTTCTACAGGCTCCAGCTGCAGTCCCAGACCCCTGGAGTCACCACTCCCAGACCCCGGGAGCCCTTGCACCCCAGCCCCAGCCTGGTGGCCCACCTGGCTTGTCTCCGACAATGTGGAGCACTCGCGCCTGGCTCTCATCCCCGACGGGCTGTAGGGAGACAGCGGGTGTCACGGGGAAGGTGGCACTAGTGGGCCCCTGGCCTTCCCCATTGCCCAGCATGGCACTCACCACATCTGGGTGGGTCTGGTTGGGCAGCTTCAGTGCCTGCAGATAGAACTGCTCTTCTAGCTCTGCCTCTCTGGGGTACAGGAGCACAAGCTGCTTCCGGATCTCCCGGCCACGTGCCCGCAGACCCTGATATTGGGGGTCCTTGGGGTAGGACAAGCGGGATCAGCCTGTGAGAGGGTTGGGGGGGTCCCTCAACCAGTCTGACCTTGATTCTCACTGGCAGAACCTCTGTGGTGGACATTTGTTGACTCTTCTATTGGCCCAGCACAAAAGAAGAAACCTCCCTCACCACACGTGGTTTATGGGGACAAGATTCAGTATTGGCCAACTGAAACATTCTATTGCCTTGGCCACAGTGATCCATTCAGAGACAGGCACGTGACCCAAGATGAACTCATGAGAATGAGCCCCAGGATTTTGGTGGGAGCTATCAGGAAAGTGTGCTTGATCCTGCCTTCCCCTTCCACAAGGGGAGAATGCTGGTCTGGGAGTGAGAGGAAAGCAGAACCCAAAATGGAGCCAGGACCTGGATTCAGCTGTACCTGAAGCCAGAATTTTAGTTTCATGAATCAATAGAGCTTGCTTTTTCCGCCCTTAAACCTGTTTGAGTTGTTTCTGTCACTTACAACAGAGGACTCGTGACTAATATGGTATCCTCCCTGCCCACCCCAACTGGGGTCAGGACATCAGTTCCCTGAGGTACCTGCTGCTCCTGACTGTTGTCCTGGTTCACCTGGTAGAAAAGAGACAGAGGGAGTGATTAGGTTGATGAAGTTGGGGGAGGAGAAGAAAAATAAGGGGTGAAAGGTCAAACAAGGCCCAGGGATCTGAATCTCCTGCTCTGTCAGTGCCTGGCTGGGTCCCTCTGCCACTCTGTGCCTCCTCAGTTTCTCCGTCTGTAAAGCTAGGAGGAGGCAAAATAACATAAAAGTAATCACGCCTGCAGCTCCATTTATTAAGTGCTGCCTCCATGCCAGGCTGTGTGGAAGGCTCTCGCATGATCTTATTTCTTCATAACCCACTCTGTGAGGTTGGCATTAACAGGACCCCTGTTTGCAGATGAGAAAACGGAGACTCAGAGAGGTAAAGTCTGTGCGTGTGTATTTGGAGGCCTGCAACCAAGGGCCTTTGACTCTCTGAACCACCTACGATCCTGAACCGCTGAGAAAACTGGGCAGACCTGGGTCTGAATGTTGGGTGCTTACTAGCTATATGCCCTTGGGCACATCTCTGCCCCTCTCTGAGCCTCAGTATCCCAGTCTGTGAAATGAGATGATAAGACCTCCCTGGTGGGGATGCTGTGCAGCTTCCCTGAGAAGATGAGTTAGTGCTCACTGAACATTAACTGATCACTTTTGTTGTTTTAATTAGCTGGCTGCCTGCCTGTGATGCATGGAGCCTGAAGCCTGGTACACAGTAGGTCACTGGGAGACATAATCAGTGGTGGGAGAGGCCTTTGAGGGGAGTGGTGAAGAGCAACCTAGAATGCCCAGGTGCAAATCCTGGCTGTCAGACTTGGGCGCCTTTTAACCTCTCGGGGCCTCAGCTTCCCCAGCTGTAAACCTGGCTTTCTACTGTTCCTGTCTCACGAAGTTGTTGCGAGGATTAAGAGTATGAAAAGCACCTGGGCAGTGCCTGGCACACAGTGATTGCTATATAAATGGCTGCCATTATTTTTATGACTGTTTTTAAGCCCTTTGGCAGATGCTTTTGGTTGTCTAACCCAAGATCCCTCCTTCCTCCTTACCCATGGAACCCTGACTCAGTTTATCCTCCCCAGGCAGCCTGTAGTGCAGGGAAAATTGGCCCATCCCGAGGCTGGCCCTTGACTAGCCCTAAGCTGGCTGTAGTGACTCCATCCCTCTTGCTGATGACTGGTATAGGATGGGGCGTCTGGGCCCAGGAAACACGAGGGGACTCACTGGATGCTTAAAGAAGGGTCTCCTTGCTCTGGGAAAAGGTACTCAAGTCAGAGAACTCTGTTTTCTGCCTCTGGCAGTCATGTGAGGAGATGCTGTACTATAGCAGTAATCTTGGAACCACACAGGGGAAACTGAGGTCAGAGCAACATAGTGAAGCTGCTGGTGCAGACAGAGGAAAGAACCTGGGATGGGGATGCTGGAGAGAGCCACTAATTAATCAACCCTAGGGATGCTGAGACCTGGGCAGCGTGTTAAGTGACATAATAAATGTCCACATTGTTTGAGCTCCTTAAATTGGGTTTCCCCTTACCTGCAGTCAGAGGCATCCTCACTGCTACTTCCCGCCCACCTAGGACCCCCATGCTCACCAGCAGAGCCCGCACTGCCTCCGTCACAGCCCCCTTCTCTTCCTCCAGGATCCGGATCTGCTCCTGCAGATGCCTTAGCTCTCGCCATGTTGAGATCTGGGGGTGGGCACAGGAGGGAAAGATGTGAAGCTGCCACAGCTCCTTCTTACTGTACCCTCAACCCACTTGCCACCAGGACCAGTGGCAGGTGAGGCAGAGACTCCTCACTGCCTCCCAGTAGCCATTCTTCCCTCCTTCCCTTCAGTACTAGACTCCCTAATGTTTAGCCGGGCATACATTTCCCAGCCTCCCTTGCAGCCAGTTGTGCTCATGTGATCAAGACCAACCAATAGACGTGAGTGGAAGTGGTTAAGTGTAACTCCTGGGTCACCTCCTTAAAGATAAGCCCCTGTCCTGGACTTCCCCTTTCTCACTCCCCTTGGACTGAATGATGGGCCCTGAGGAGAGATGAACCGACAGAAGTGTTTCCCAAGGTTGTGATCCATTGGTGGGTGTTATAAACTGAATATTTGTGTCCCTCAAAATTCATGTTGAAATCCTCACTCCCAATGTGATGGTATCAGAAAGTGGGGCCTTTGGGAGGTGATCAGGTCATAAGAGCAGAGCCCTTATAAACAGGACATGTGCTCTTTTACAGGAGACCACAGAGAGCGCCCTTCCCCTTCCGCCATGTGAGGACACAGCAAGAAGATGGCTTCTATCAACGAGGAAGCCAGGCCCTCAGCAGACACCAAATCTGCCAGCACCTTGATCTTGGACTTCACGGCCTCCGGAAATATGAGGAATAAAGTTTTGTTGATAAGCCACCCATTCTAAGGCCTTCTGTTACAGCAGCCTGAATGGACTAAGACAGAGGGTTACGAAATGAATTCAGGATCTCTAAACTAGCACTTTAAAAAACTGCGGTAAAATAAACAAAACATAAAATTTACCATTTTCATCACCTGTAAGTGTATGGTTCGGTGGCGTTCACACTGTTGTGCTGCCATCACCACAATCCATCCCCAGAACTCTTTCATTTTCCCCAACTGAGACTCTGTACCAATTACACCCCGATTCTCCCTCCCCCTTCACCCAGCCCCAGCAACCGTCATTCTTCTTTCTGTTTCCATGATTTTGACTACTATGTATAGCTCATATAAGGGGAATCACACATTAATTGTCTTTTTGTGTCTGGCTTATTTCACTTAGCATAATGTCTTCAAGGTTCAGGAACATGTCAGACTCTGTCGTAGCATATGTCAGAATTTCGTTCCTTCTTGAACCTGAATGACATTTTATTGTATGCATATGGCATATTTTATTTATCCATTCATCCATCCATGGACATGGGTTGTTTCTACCTTTTAGCTATTGTCAATAATGCTGCTATGAACGTGGGTGTACAAATATCTGTTCGAGTCCCTGCTTTCAATTCTTTTGGATATATACCCGGAAGCAGAGTTGCTGGATCACATGGTAATTCTGTCTTCAGTTTTTTGAGGAACCGCCATACTGTTCTCCCCGGTGCCTGCACCATTTTTCATTCTCACCAGCAATGCACACAGATTCCAATTTCTCCACAACACAATTCTTGCCAACACTTACTATTTTCTTTTCTTTTTTTTATAATAGCCATCCTAATGGGTGTTTAAAACAGCACTTTAAAAATGGAAAAGAATAACACCAAGGTCTGCCAAAAAATAAACAAATAAAAATGAAAAAGAATATGATAAGAAAATAAGAATGCATCACACATGATAAGAGCAAGAACTGTTAACGAAACTTTGGTTTCAACTGTGGGTGTGTGTACTGAGTCAGGACGTAAAATGTATTTCTTGCTCTTAGCCACAAAGTTTGAAAAACCCTATTAAAGGGTATGACACTCTAATTTACCTACATGTCCACTAGATGGAATATTCCATCCTACCTCTAGGCTTTTGTAAATGCTGGTTCCTCCACTTGGGTCACTCTTTTCCCCTCTTCACCTAGCTAACTCTCACTCAATCCACAGATCTTTGTCTAATGCCACTATAGAGGGTTAGAAATCTTGATTCTCCTTTGATCTTAGAATAGGATTTTTTAGGTAAATGCATGCATAGGGCCAAAGCCCTCAAGTAGAGGACCAAAGTCCACAGATAGCTTGGCAAAAGCCCATCTAATCTGTTTAGGGATGGGATTGTGTACTTTGACTATTTTAGGTCACTGGTTGGATTCCAGCTCAAAGGACTACTGACTATTTAACCTACTCATTGTTGTTAAGATATGTTGAGGATGCTGCTTGATTGCCGTTTAAATATGCTGAGGAAATTGCTGTAGGAAATATGCAAAAAATAAAGTTTGCTAAGGACAAGCTGTTTGTTGGTGGATCGATTTAGCATTCTGGAATGTCACATTGTTAATTTTATTGATGTTACTAGTTTCCGTTATTTAAGCTATACTTAGCCATAATTAACTTCTGTAACACTGCCTTTGTTTTTATGTCCCTCTTTGATGACTGAATCAACTGGTTTTTCTTGTGAAACTTCCTTGTCTTGACAATAAAAAAAAAAAAAAAAAAAAAAAA